TCAGATCTTTCAAAAGTAATGTTTAGAAAAAGTCAGTTTTTAAACAAATTGTGCCATTAACAAACAAAAAAGAAATAAGACCGTCCTTTATAAAATGCTGGTATGAATGATTTAAAATGTTTCTCAAGCCTTCCCTTTATTTTTTTTTACTGGAAACAGTCTGCTACATTTGACTTCCTTTTACAAGCTATTAAAGTCTTTACAAAACTGCATTTCTGAGACAAGAATATACCATTTGCTCAAAACATGAAATCCCAACACAGCTTTCACATGGACACTGACATTTTATGGTGAATTTGGTTTTCCAGACTGGGTAAGGCTGGACTCCTTTCTGTTCACCAAATTAATTTGTTAACCCCTTACACAAACAAGCGGTAAGGACTGTGTTGAGTTCAAAAATATTGTCGCTGACAGTGAAATGAGAATGGATTGGAATCAGTGTGTGCCCTCTCCTCCCCATTCACACAAATTCTTTCATTCCCTACAATCTGACCAGAAGGATACAGCAGTGGTGGGATTTCAGACCATTTCAGCTAATTCATGGCTGTAATTTACTGAGGGCTGATGCTGCCACAGCTGCCCCAGAGAAGGAGCAGAGAAAAGGAATGGGAACACTCACTGGGATGTGCAACAGAGCCTTCAGGGGATGGCCAGGATATTTCATCTGCCTTGCCATGGCATTTCTGGGGTGCCTCAGTGAAGAGCTTCCCAGACTGAGCAACACATCCCTTTGGGTGCCCGCGTAGGATTTTGCCTCTGAAAGGTGAGGCTGACAAATTGGAACTAATCTAAGGCAGTGTGGTACAGTCATCTCGCCTGCAGGGACACATTTCAGCATTCAGCTGCAGAATGCCAGCTTAAGAACAAGCTCTTGATAAAGGAAAGTTCAGGCCAAGCCTGGGGATGCACGACTTTTAAATCAAGAACACTTTTTTTTTTTCTCCCCTTAGTCTACCCCTTCCTCCCTGGGGATGGCAATATGATAATGCTGCACTGCAAATAGAGGGAGAAAAGTTGAGAAATCTCTCTTCACTGCACTAGTTTCCCTTTATTTCCTAAAGCTGTTTCACAGTTTAATCCATCAGAGAGGGTGAGATTAGTGTTATGGAGAAACTCACAAACATTTTTATTTTTGTGCCACATTTTTTTTTAAACTAAAGCTAAAGATCAAGTAGTACACTACCCCCAGCAAAAGGAGTCTTTCTATTCAGGTGAGAGCTGAGGACAAGTTGTCAGCTTGAAATGAGGGGAAATTATGCTGAAGACTCTCTGTTTTAGCTGGGTCAAACAATGGCATCTTCCTGGGCAATTTAACTATCAAGCCCATGCAGCATAACATCATCCATGCACTGTAACTGCAAAGGCAGTTGCACTTAGAAATGTAATGATACCATGCTTTAAAACTTCAAGAAAAGGGAGAAGCCTGTCTTCCTGTTTTGGAAAAGACTCTACATCCTTGGCCACAGAGAACAGCAAGTACCTGTCATGATTCTATATTTCAGGAGCAGCTATAATCATGCAGCAAGAAAAGGACTTGGAGGGTGTTTTTTTCCCACTGGAAAGAGTTAAAAAAAACAACAACAAACCAACCCCCCCACCCCCCCAAAAAAAACCCAACCCAACCAAACAGAAAACCACAAAAGCTTTCATTCAAATTGTGTATAGATTTCCTAAACATTCTGAATTAAAGGAGCTGCTTAATTGCCCCTGTACATCCCACATTGTCTTTTCATTCCTAATTGTATAAGAATAAAAATTCTTAAACTCTTGCATAAACTTGAATAAATCAGTAAAGTTTAGCATCCTATTTCCATGCACCCTGATCCACTGAGCTCTGACATTTATTTCCATGATCATTTCTTTTAGAGCCACCTGAATATACCTGCAACATATAAACAACTTTCCTCACAGGTGAGTCTGTGCTTTAATGTTGCCGTCCCAAACTCACTTGTTGCTGGTGATGAAAATTTCACCACATCCAAGTCAGAGTAACAACCCATTTTGTCTGTCCTCTTGAGAATGAGCAACAGTTTGTGGAAAACAGGCAATTCATGATGGCATTGTTGCAGATGTGGCTCAAACGCCTAAACCTCAGTTCACAACAACAAAGGAAGAAGGATTTTGGATGAGAGCACAGGACTCACACCCTCAGTCAGTCCTGCATCCTCAAAAATGGCAAGGAAGAAAATCTCACCAGATTAGCTTTTATTATATCACTCTGGCTTCGTGAGTGGTTGGTTCCTGTCCTGGTGCCAGGAGAACAAGTCCATCCCATCCCATGGCATCCCATGGCATCGCATCGCATCCCATCCTATCCCATCCCATTATCCCATCCCATTATCTCATCCCATTATCCCATCCCATCCCATTATCCCATCCCATCCCATCCCATTATCTCATCCCATTATCCCATCCCATCCCATCGCATCGCATCCCATCCCATCCCATTCCATTATCCCATCCCATCCCATCCCATTATCCCATCCCATCCCATCTCACCCCATCCCGTCCCTCCTCCCAGAGCTGCTGACACTCTCAGGCTCCTCATGGTGCCTGGGATTCCAGAGCACAGCCAAGTGCATCCAACAGTGCACTTTGCCAGTTGTGCAAGGCTGTGCACTGGTGGGGTAAAAGAAAATCCTCTCTCACACTGGCAGGAGATCAATTTACAAACTCAAGCATGAGGTTTAATTACCCATTTCATTATCTTAGCTTGCACAGTCAGAATGTGAACCTCCAATGAACCAAAGAAACAGTCACCAGCTGCTGCTTTGAGAAGGAGGGAGATAACAGGAAGAAGTTCAAATGCCTAAAACTGCTCTTGCTGCATGTGGCACCCCTTGGAGGTTATCCCCAGCCAACAGATCTGTGTTAGACCCCACTATGTGGAAAACTTCTGAAAGTCCTATTTATGTGCTAATCTGAACAAAGACCAAAAGAGATGAAGCAGGGTTATCTAGCCAATCACTGAGAAGCCTCAGAGTTAAATTTTCAAACACAAGCAAGTGATCCTTGGAGATTTTTTTAGACATTCATCCAGTAAATTCTAGTAAATAAATTGTGATGTGCTTGTGGATTTTGTATGAGCATGAAATAAAGTGTTTGCTGCAAATTATTCACTCAGCACTAGTTAACTGCAATGCTGGCACATTACTAGGCTTTTTAATATTCTTCTTGAGATAACAGGTAGCATTTTGCTTATTACACTCATTTTTAAGTTATTAGTTACATTAGGCCATTTGTAAATACAGTGAAGAATTGCGAGAAAATAAAATGGTTTTTTTTTCAACTAGCTCATTAAAATTCTCTTTAGTTCAGGAGGGCTGAAAATACTGCATATCATGGAAAGTTAAACCAAGAGTACACCATCAAGCTCAGCAATTCCAAATTAATTCACATGCCCTTTCCCACTACCTGGGTTCCCAAAAGGCTTTTCAAGTTCTGAGCCATATCAATGCCTATAGAAAGCTGCATGTCTCTCAAAAACTATAAATAACAGAGCAGGGGAAAAACCCTACAGGGCAAGTGAACTTAGGGGGGAAAAAAAGCTGCTTAATTGCAACTGGAGTTTGCTTATGTGCAAGACATCTTGAAGAAAGGAAATTAATGTAGCATCAGATTCTAGAGCCATTTTGGTTTTTTTTTTTCCTGTATGGTGACACATTCTGATAAATTCCTAGTGCTGTCTGATGCCACCCCTGCAGTGCCGCTGACTGATCTGGGATTTGCCAAGAGCTGGGTGAGCATCACTGCAGCTGGAAGGAGCCACCTGTTCTGTGAAGTTTCACTCAGAACACACTCAGAACCACTGTGGAAATCACCCCCACAACTCCCTGCTGCTTCAGCTCAACAATGAGCAAAGAAAGGGAGGGATAAGGAGCACAGATCACAGGATCATAAACGCTGGAAAAGACCTCAAAAACCACTGAGCCCAGCCATTAGCTCAGCGCTGCTAATCCATGTCCCTAAGCACCATACCCACACATTTTTTTATCATTTCCAGGGACAGTAATTCCACCACTGCCTTGGTTCCAATGCCTGATCACCTTTTCAGTAAAGATTTTTTTTTTTCTAATACTTGATCTGAAACTCCCCTAGCACAACTCGAGGCTGTTTCCTCAAAAAAGAGCTGCCAGCAGCCCCATTTTCTGCACCTTCCATCTTCCTCCTCCTCAGTGGTCTCCTCACCCGCACAATAACCCAGCCTTGTTCTGCTTAGCAATGCAACACCTAATTAGATCAAAGCTCAAGGTAGCCTGGCTACAAAGTGAATTGTGTTATTTAGTCTTGCACTGTAAGCAAAACCACATGCAGTATATTTCATTTCTCAGGGGCTTCTCCAGAGAACTGTGTGGTACATGTAATTGCCCCCACGAACAAATCATCAACTAATCAACTGCTTTTCATTATCACCTCCAGCAGCACATTTATTTTGTAAATAAATGCATTAAGAGCAAACAATTTTAGGGAAAACAAAAGATTATCTGAATACGATCTCAGCAGAGGAGGTGGTAAAGTAGTAATTCAAACACTAAAATGGAGCAAAATTAGCATAGGGTGGAATGATTATTCCATTCCATGTATCCCTATCTATTACAGTACAATAACAGAGTGAAATCTGTGACTTTAATGGATGATCTGGGTAGTTTAAGGGAGCTGTGATTGACTGACACATTTACATAGAGGCTGATGAGCAGCATAATGAGTGCATTCATAAAACACAGCTAAGGTCTAACTCTAAGCTGACATTAACTCCCACACTTAGAAGAAGCCTGTAGAGCAGATACTCTGCTGTCTTGGGGAGCTGCTCTCTACCTCCTGGAGCAAACAAATTCCCTATTTGCCCCTTTCCTAGGTGGCAATTTCAGGAAGCACATGGCCATGTGAGAATCTCCAGTTTAAGGGGAATTAATTGAAACAAGCCATATAATATTCAATGCCAAAACAATGCAAGGTGTATAAGGCAAATACAACACATGGGTTCATCCCCCACACCATACCTGTAATTTCCTAGGTAAACTCCATCAGGATTGAGCATGGGAGCAATCTTGAACACCAGGTGGTCTCTCAGTACTTTTGCAATTGGATGGTGGCTCACGAGGAAATCAATTATACCTGAGAAAAAAAAAGATGTAAAAGGAGTTTGAAGAGGGGTGTCTGTGACATCAATGATTTCCAGGTATCTACTTGAAATTTCACATATGAAGGATTAGAATGATGATTCCTCCTGGTTCCTGGCACTGCTCCTGCTTCCAACAGAACAAACCACTTGCAATCATGAAGCACCTGCTTAAAACTCCAAGAACTTTAAAGAGAAATACCCGAATCTGTCCTCATAATGCAAGTACGCCATGGCTGCATTACCAGACACTGTTAAGTTTCCACAGAGGGAGAAGTCACTGCTCATCAGCTAAGCCACAATAACAAAAAGGAGAAATGGAGTTACCCTTCACACCCAGCCTGCACAGAGCTCACCTTGTGAGTGGAAATTTGTGGAGATGAGCCATCTCAAATTCATTTCAGCATACATCCAGACCTAGCCATGATGTATGAACCCAGATTTCAGACCACCTGCATGTATGAAGGGGTGTAAAATGCCTCACAAAAAATTGGGAGAGTTGCACAATATGTGCACTGGGCACAGGGATATTGTGCCAGTGGTGGACTGGAATTTATGGTGTCGTATTCTTCATTTCTTTTACACTCATGAAAGCCAGGACTAACTCCACCTCATTGGCTCCTTTAGTGTGGAGCCCAGGCAAGTGATGGGGAAGCAGATCCTAAATGCCCTTCCTTTGGGCACATCACAGCACCAGAACCTGCAGGATTTCCTTTCTCTTGCCCTCATGCTTGGGGAGCTACTGAATATTCCTCAGCCCAGGGCTGGTGCTGGGGCAGGAGAAGGAATCTGGCAGCTAAATTCACTGCTCACCCCTCCACTGAGTTGGTACTGACAGAAATAGCTTCCAGGGAATTAGTGTGGAGATAAATTGAGTTCCTGTGTAATCTCAGGACACCCACAGATAGGTCATGACAATTTGCTATTTATTGTAAGGTCCATCCTGTGAAGCAGGAACCATTTACTGAATTTCCCCAGAATAAATCAATCACTATGGTCTAGTAACAGGATAAAATTAAGCAGAGAAAAATTAAGGCTGCTCATCAGTAAAATTTCAGTAATGGTGAGCTCTATTAGAGTGTGGAATTGTCTCTCCAGGGTAAGAGTGGAATCCCATCATCAGAAACGTTTAACACTGGGCAGGGTAAAGCCTCAGGGAATAGCTATAACAAGCAATAATTCAGCATACAAGGGATGGCCTGGGCTAACTAGCTGACTTCAGACCTGATGTTTTGTGATTCAATCAAAGTGTTAAAAAAAGCCCCTAAACCCCATGTTCATGCCAGGTTAAACGCACTTGTTTACAGCTTGGCTGGAACATGCATTAAAGATGAGACCAAAATCTCACATTCTGCATGACTCCTTCATTTTGCTAATTTCTTAAGGCCCACATTGTATTTCAATACCAGAAAGTCTGAACCTAGGCTGCTGTTGGAATGAATTCGAATTTTCTGAGGCATATGGAGAAAAATGAGGCTTCTGAAATGTCTGAGCTGATCAAGGCATAGTTGACTCTAAATATCATCAATTTTTCCATGTTTCAGTGACTAATCCTGAAGAGGAGAGAGGAACTTTCTGTAACCAGGTCTTCCACTCGAGAAGAAACTAAACTTGAATTTCTGAGGCAAATTAGCATATCCATAATTATATTTCTCAGGAAATGTTTCTGCAATTACCTCCTCTCGATGAAGGAAACTGAACATCGATCTGCTTTTTGGCTGCTGTTGTGACTTTTGTTCATTATCCAACAGCAAGAACACGGAGGAACGACGGGGACACAGTTGGATCCTGAATAACCAGATTTCCTAACTGTATGCAAACACAAAAAGCTTAGCTATGTTAAACTGCTGCTCTGACTGTTTCCTGGTAGTGCCTGAAACACAATCCACAGTACTCACACCTGGAGGGCTCAAAATCACTTAAAGGGAAACAACCCCTCACTTAGCCCTTGGTTTCCCAAGACCCTGTGCTGGTTTTAGTTAGTTTTAGTTTTAAAGAGCTTGCTACTTGACTCAACTAGACCCAAACTCATCAGTTTGTGTTTTCTAAAACACTTGGAGGAGTTAACTATTCAGAAATCAGTGTGTCCAGAACAAGCTTTATCTGAGGTTAGATAACACCCTTCAAGTGGAAATAATACCAGCACAAATATCGCATCATGTGCATTGTGGATCATTGCTTTTCTTTCACGAGGTGACACAAGAGCCCAAACTCTCTTTTGCTGTGGCTGTCATGGTGCCGTGGAGGGGCTTGTCCAGGTTCTGCTCGTTTCCTGATGAGGTCTCTGGTGTTGAGATGACTCCAAGGTGTTAGAAAGTCTCTTTTTTCCCAGCCCCCAGACCGAAGAAGAAGCAGAGATGTGTCAGTTCTGCTTTCCAAGGTTCTTTATTTTTGTTATCTATAACATTCTTTCTCCAACCTGCCAAGGTCTGTCCAGCAGGTCAGTTCATGGCACACTGGCCACCCTCAGGATGGTGTTATGTTTTTATACTAAAAACCACTTTATTTACAATAATTTTCCAATACCTATCACCTATGTTAGAGCAGTTTGTCTCTACTCTAAACCAATCCAGAAGTGCCACCATCCCAGCAGAAGATGGAGGCCAAGAAGGAGAAAGACAAGACACCCCCAGGTTCCTCCATCTTGCCTCTCAAACCCCTATTCTAAAACCCCAAAATTCTACTTTTTCACCCTTTGATAAATTCACTATCATTCTATTCAAACCCCTGTGGCTTGTAACTCTTTGCACAAAGTTGTTAATGGCTTCCATGGGTTAAAATCGAAGGCACAGGTGTTTTTGGTGTTTTTGAATCCGTGCCAGGGTCTCTGAGCCCCCTGCCAGGGTCTCAAGCCCTCCAGGGCAGTCAGGGGAATGTCCTGGGTTCCAACAATTCCCCCCCTGTTACTGATGCTGCTTTGCTCAGAGTTTGGCAGGAGCATCTTGGCCACTGGAAGCTGCAGTTCTCAGCTTCAGCAGGCAATTCCTGTTCCCAAGAAAGAGCCTGCAGTGGTGTGGAAGGCTGCACATAAACATGCAGAGGGTGAGGGTCTGCTGTGCCTGATTCACTGCTGCACCCAACTAAAGGATCCTGGGCACCCAGAGCTTGGTGTCAAACGTGACCCAGCATCTCCCCAGGCATCCCCATCTGCTGAGGCTGCTGCAGCCAAGCTACCCATCAAAAGGAGATTTACTTGATTTTCTTACTTAGCAGATGGTCAGTTAAACCTGAAGAAGCCTTATCCCATTGTACAAATACCCAGGAAGAGTTAAAAATATCTCTCAGAATTCTAACCTGGAAGTAGAGGCAGTTCTAAGGAGCATGAGAAAGGCATGAGACAAAAGCATACATTTACATATACAAACCTCACCCTAAAATTATAGTAAGTATCAAAATAATCAATACAACTAGGAAATAGCTTTGTCCTTCAGAGGAACCCAATAGTTCTGGGCTGCCTGAAATAGTCCAGATCAATAATTTTTAAAATAAAAAGACAGATATCAGAGTATTAAACAAAAAATACCATTGCCGAGAACTTGGTCCTTCTGCTAATAAATCAATACAAACTAAATTTTACAGCTCCTGTAATCAGCAAGAGACATATCAGTGTATCTCATTAGGCCAGGGTTCAGAATTTGGCAGCAACCAAAGCCCATTTAATATCATTTACTTCAAGGCAGACATGGCAATACAACAGATGCCCTAATTTATTTGTTGATCTTTGTATTAAAATAACAGTTTGCTGGTAAACAGGAAGGGTAATGATGCCAGTCACCCTTGTTAGTGGCTAATAATTGCTTAAATTGTCCACTAATTGACCTGTGGTACTGTTGAAGCACTGGATCGTGTTGCAGGGCATGAAGTAAACAAGGCCACTGTAATGTTGCTTTAGAGAATGACTTCTGGAAATAGAACTACTTATTGCCATAAATTTTCCTTTCACAGATGAGCAGATTAATTGGTCTGCCAATTAGTCTGCTATTAAAGAAAAAAAAAGGGCTGCCCACAGATTGGTTGGATCTTCGAACTGTAGCCCCAGTTTGGGTCAAAGGAAATAATCCAATCTGAACCAGCCACATCAGCTATGGAAAATAAGACAAGCATTATTTAAATACACAAACCTCTGTGGCTGGAGATCAAGGAAAACAGCCAAATAATGAAGTATTAACTCTTCAAGAGACTTCAAAATGAGATAGAGAATGTGATGGAATGGGCCTACCGAGGCACATTACAGTGTGGAAAAGTTCTCCAATTAGAAGAAGCAAAACAATATGGATTATTTTCCTCCCAAGCTTTCTGGAAAGCAATTAAAATCTTTATATTTCAAATAGCTATGTGCAATTATAGATGCTGCCTGGAACCAGAACAGCTCAGAAATCAGCATTCAGCCATGACACAGGAAGAGGCTTATTCATAGTCCACTAAAAATTCACCAAAGTCTTTACATCAACTTCAAGGAGATTTTCATTGTTGTAAGCAAAAGGGAATAAAGAATTGAAAACAAAGACAATGGAAAACAATACTCACAACTGCTAGCATTAGAGACACAGACACACTGACTTAAAAATGTCAGACTGTTAAAAAACTGATTTTTTGGTAAACCCAGTTTCACTGAAACTGCACTAAATCTGGACCAAGCCCCTTCTACTCTGAGTCACTTCCTTATCATTATTCTTTCTCAAGGCTGAATGCACTTTTACAAATTTCTCCTGCCTTCTGCAGCTCAGCTCCTCTCATCTGCTCCAGTGTTAGGTCCTGTGGCATCTTTCTGCCCAGCCCAAATTATCTGCCGGTTCTTCTCAAGCAAGTTAATCATGCACTCCTCCATAACATGTCATTTCCACTGTTCTGTCAAGACATTTCCTCAGCCAACCTCCTTAAACTCTGTTTAAACTTCCTGCTGGCTCTAACATGACCTCTCCACATTTGCTCCTTCCAAAGAAAAGCCAGCCTTATCTCCTGCTTTTTCCATTACTCCATCTTTTCACCCTCAGCC